CCCAGTTTTGCCAAATGTTTAGGACAAAAGTTTATTTTTTCAGCTTTGGGAGAGTTTACATGGTGCTGTCAAGCATTTGCTCATAAGTTTGATAGCTTTAATATCACTGTCGGCGCGTTTCTATAGCAATATGTTAAGCAGAGGTTGGAGCGTACCCTGAGTGATCAAGGCCTGGAAGCAGCAGACAAGTGGTGATATTAACACTCTCAAACACTCCTGGTGAGCAGGGACCAACGCATGATCCATGTACACACACTTGGTTCTTCGCAGGAATCCTACTGATCCGCCCGCTCCGAGCGGCCGGTGGGAGCCCTCGCCATGAGGGAGGCAGGACTTCACACACCTGCGAGGACAGAGCCGCTTCTGGCTCATTTTTGGTGCCCTCTTGTGCCAGGTGCAGCTGCTGTAACCCTGCACTGCCAGCGCCGTGCTCTGTACATAGGTAAACGATGAACCAGGCGGCTCTGGAGAGAGGCCACAGCCCACTCCGGCACTCCTGTTCGGATTCCGTCGGTCACCGCTTCCCTCTGGCCGTGGCAATAACTGGAGGTTTGAGGACCAAAGCCAGAGCTGCCCCACGTGGCTCTGCAGGTGTGTCAGCCCAGCAGGGCTTTGCCCTGCAGGTAACTGCAGCCAGGCAAAACCCGTGTGTGTGCCTACAAGGAGTCGTAGGGTTTTGGGGGGGGTTGTCCACACGGACCAGCCTTACCACGAAATGTATTTCCCTCCTGGAACTGCTTGTACATCGCTGATCAAGTCAGTTCTGGAACAAGCTAAATCCTTCCTCTAAACGAGATGTTGTCCCAATTGATCTTTCTTGGCATTTTGTGTTATGATCCTCCCCCTGTTTTGCTGGGTACACCCCTCTCTCTCTCTCACAAAATCCTCCTGTTCATGGCAGTGATTTTTCTTGGGCATCTATTTCCCAAATGAGACATTCCAGGGATCCAGCCAGGAAACTTAATTCTACAAAACCCTTCCCTGAAACAAACCTTTTCATGCTCTCTCTTAATAGTAAGTCGTGGTGTTTATATAATTGTGTTTAAAATATCCTTGGCTATGTTGTTTTACAGATTTTTAAAAAATAACTTATACAATCCTTGTTTTTTTCTCTGTGGACTATTTTTTATATGGGAGTGGGGTATCTTTTTGTGTCTTATTCCTTTTCCTTCTCTCTGACCCTGCAAAGCCACTCTTTGCACCAGACAAATGTAAACACTCTTTCCTACGCTGCATGTTCTGATTTTCATTGTTAATAGTTTTAATGAGATAAACCTTTCTCCAGTGAAATTCCCAGTACGAATTGTCAGCAGTTCCACACGGAGCTGGGATAATCCCTGCTTGGTTTCGGCTGCAATGACACCTGCCCTGCCTGGGCTTGCCCACAAGAGCTCACTTCAGCCAGGTGAGGAGGGGAAAGCCACACTGTCTCCAGCCCTCACCTGCCTGGACCAAATCCAAGGAAATATGGAGCTTTGGTAAACTGATCTTTAAGTTAATAAACTATTGATCTCCCCTGACAAGTGAATCTGTGCTTTTTCCAAATTCATGCAGCCCTGACTGGAGGCACTGCACGTCCTTACTTTGCTGGAGACAAAGCAGCTCCCGTGGCTGGAGCTCCTGCTCAGCTCAGAGCACCTGTGGGAGAAATGCTCAGGAACAGATGAGCTACATCTGCAAAAACCTCACTATTATTATTGTAAAGGTCTTTAACCTTCAGAAGAAGCTCAAATCCCGAATACCTGCCCTGTGCCAGGCTGGGCTGGTGCACCCAGGGCCATCTCACTGGGCTTGGGGCTGTGCTGGGGCACAGGTGGGTGAATTCTCCAGTATGGGGGATCCTGGATGAGCTGGCAGAAGGGCTTGTTCTCCTTTCCCACTCATACAAGGAGCATCCTGAGCAGTTCCCCACTGCAGTTCCCAGCACGGGGCCACTGTTCCCTGTTGGCTGTCTGGAAAGGAGAGGAGCTGCTGATGTGGCTGGGCATGGAAGCTCAAATCCCGAATACCTGCCCTGTGCCAGGCTGGGCTGGTGCACCCAGGGCCATCTCACTGGGCTTGGGGCTGTGCTGGGGCACAGGTGGGTGAATTCTCCAGTATGGGGGATCCTGGATGAGCTGGCAGAAGGGCTTGTTCTCCTTTCCCACTCATACAAGGAGCATCCTGAGCAGTTCCCCACTGCAGTTCCCAGCACGGGGCCACTGTTCCCTGTTGGCTGTCTGGAAAGGAGAGGAGCTGCTGATGTGGCTGGGCATGGAGGGAGCTGTGGAATCCTTTGTTTGTTGTGTTGGTTTTGCAACAACCATGGGCCAAATGCCTAGGGTAGTGCCTGGATATCTGGAACTGAGTTTTTTTAAGTGGAGGGGAAAAGAAAAGAATGGAGCCCTCCCACAAGGGAAGCTGCTTTCTCAGAAATGTGCAGCTCTGGGCTCCTGCATTTTCTTGGTCTTCACATTTATCAGATGATAAATGTGAATTAATCCCTTATAGCAATTTCTTTGGCTGCAGGATTTCCCTTTCAGTCTCAGGCCAAACCAGAGGTCAGAACTGGGGTGACACACTCCTGGCTTCTGCCCCTTTGCTTGGAAAATACCAAACTTCATTTCTCCTGCTGTGTTAGTGAGAAAACAGGAGCTGTGGATCAGGAGTACTGTGCCAGCCTTCCAGTTCTCTGGCTCACAGCAGCCTGCCCCTAAATACTGCTCCCTGGTATATTTAGATGTACTGAAATGCTACAAAGAAAGGAAAATGCTTACTCTTACATCTTGACCCAACTTAAAATACACACTGGGGAAGGCAGTTTAAGATGACCAGTCCCCAGCAGTCCCAGTTCTATCCTGCTTTCTGCTGCCTTCCAGCCTGCCAGGGAAAGAAAAACAAATTCTGCACATTGAATTCATGCAACAACATCAGCTTCCAGCGTTTCCCTCAGAAATCATTCTTGTAAAGTAATAAAATTCAGATTATTTCTCCAAGCTGTTGCAATACTTGCTTGGAGCTATTAAAGTCTGACTGGTATGCTCAGAGGATCAAAGTGGCTGTGTCTTCCAGATAAATGCATATTTAGGCAATTTATTAAAGCTCATTTCTCTGTTGTCTCTTGGCACCAAAGCCAAATTTATAATAGCTGTTTTCTGGAAAATCTTAGCACAGCCTGACTCCTCGTTTGCAGTTTGGCCGTGGGGCTGCAGCCACGGCCATCTGCCATTGTGCAGTTGGCAGGTGGGGAGCACAGATCTTAAAAATCATTGCTTTGAGTTTCCATTGCAAAGAAAGGACTGTGGAGAGCTTGTGTGCAGCGTCTGAGACCCAGAATCCATCTGCTCGCAATTACAATTCTATTGTGGCTGCAGAGCTGAGGCAAACAGATGTATTGTGCTAAGGGAGACAGGTCCATGCTTTATTTGGCCTTGTCAGAGGCAGGACCTGCTTTCCAGGAGGCTGGGAAGAGTCTCCTTGTAAGAACTGCCTGAAATGACTAAAGTCTCTGTTGTCTTTAAGGCTGCATGATGCCTGAGTCATGTACAACAGCACTGCTAATTCTTGGGTTTTTCCTTGTGACAGCTCCCTCTTGTTCTTGCTCCCTCCTATGTTATAAAACAAATGCAGCTGTTATAAAAACCTGCCTGTGCCTTCCCATACGGCTTTGGTGAGGGAGTTTTCTCAGCAGGGAGCACAGGAGCTGCCTGAGCCCAGCTGATCCCTGGCAGGGCGAGCTCTGACGCTGCAGCTGTGGGGACAGGCGGGCGTTTTGCCCAGGGTGATGCCCTGAGAAGCTCCCAAAAGAGAAGCACGAGCCATCCCTGAGCAGTGCCAAGCGTGGCAGCAGTGTTTAGCCTGTTATCACATCCTCTGGGTTCACAGAAATGTCATGGCTCACAAAAAACATCCTTCCCTCGATAGCAGCGCAGACAGAAATCATCCTTCCTCGTCCTGCTCTGAGGGCCTTAAAGGCTGGGAAGCATTTCCCCAGAAGCAATGGTGGCATTCAGCAGATTTTAGGGGTTTGGGGGTGTCCCTTTACACGTCACTTTCAGTCCTGTCACCTGCAGCGTGGCTCACCCTCCAGCTGAGCCCTCCCAGTGGCGCCAGGCAGTGCCCCAGCCTCAGACCAGGGAGCTCCTGGCCAGACACAGCAGCCAGAGCCACCTCAGCTCCCCCATCGCTCCTCCCAGCCCTTCCTTGCTGTTCCCCAAATTCCCAAAGCTGGTTAGGGGGACGTTGTGACATTTGCAAGCATGTTTTGCCTCACAGATAAAGGGGGTGTGTGGTGATGCAGCCTGTGGGGTGCTCCCAGCCCATCACAGCACCTCAGCTCAGGAATGCACATGGAAGTGATGGAGAAAAAAGCTGCAGGGGGAAGGTGCTTATGGGCAACACAGTGTCCAGGAGGAAAGGCTGAGCTGCTGCTGGGGTGGATGGATGGATGGACAGAGAACACCGAGACCTGAAGGTGCCCTGGGGAGCAGCAAATGCTCGAGCACGGCTCTGTCTGAAGGGAAGCACCAGCCATGGTGTGAAGCATGTTCCTGCTCTGCCCGCATTTCTGCAGATAAATCTGTGCCTGGAAGCACCACAAGGTGGGAGGGAACATCTGGGGGCACCTGTGCTGACAGCAAGGCCAATTCTCCCCTGGGCTTGTGAGCCATGGCTCAGGCTGGGGCTGGGAGCTGGCCCAGGAAGAGGGGAATGCATGGATGGGGTTGGGGCTGTATCAGTCCCTGAGGGGGGAACGCAGGGATGGGGTGTTGGGGGCTATATCAGTCCTTGAGGAGAAGGGGAATGCAGGGATGGGGTGTTGGGGGCTATATCAGTCCCTGAGGTGAAGAGGAACGTAGAGATGGGGAGTTGGGACTGTATCGACCCTGAGGGGGGAACGCAGGGACGGGGCGGGGAGGGGCGGTCTCTGCCGCTCGCTGTCTCGGCGCTCGGCTGCGCGGCCTGCGCGTGCTCGGCGCTCGGCGCGGTGGCCTGCGGCGGCGCGGCGCGGCCTGGCGCGGTGTGTGGCGTGTAGGGCCGGCTGTCCCGCTGTGTCGCCGATTGTCGCCGTGTGTCGCGATGGTGAAGCTCACGGCGGAGCTGATCGAGCAGGCGGCACAGTACACCAACGCCGTCCGAGACCGGGAGCTCGACCTGCGCGGTGCGCGGGCCCCGCGGGGCGAGAGGGGCTGTGCCGGGAAGGGGCGGGCGGGGGCTGAGGGCTGAGGCCCGGGGCTGTGGGGGTGTGTGTGGGGGGGTGGTCAGTGATGGAGCCTGGCGGTGGGACTGTGTTGGGTCCCGGAGGAGAGGCTGCCATGGGGTTTGGAGGGTCCGTAATGGATCTCCCAGTGGGGCCTGGCGCCTGCCGTGGCCGGAGGTGCCGAAGCAGGACGGGGAGGTTGGAGGGGCTGCAGCGGCCGGGGGTTGGGATGAAGAGCGATTAAAGAGGCTCCAGTGGCTTCGGAACCTGCGGGAGATGTGAGGGGTGAATCACAGAGTGGTAGAACGGTTTAGGATGGAAGGAACCTAAAGATCATCTCGTCCCAACCACCAAGAAGGGGAAAGTGGGGGAAATGTGGGAGGAATGTACTGTGGTGTGGGGGTGGGATGTGCCTCAGCACGGGGGATGTGCCAGAAAGGTGGGTTTGGTTTGGAGGACACGTCCAGGCAGGGAGCTGGTGTTTTGCTGAGGGGGAGGAAGAAGGATTCCAAAAGCCATGAGGGCTGTCGGGTGTGAGGGGGAGAGTTTGGTCTGGGAGCTGTGTGGAGCAGAGTGGATCCTGAGGTGTTTTGTCTGAACCTTATCAGCATCCCCAGTCCATCCCGATTTGCCCTCACACCCTATTGTGCTCTGCTGTGGGCACCACCTAATCCCTGCCCTGCCCTGCCCTCTCTCTCCAGGCTATAAAATCCCAGTTATTGAGAACCTGGGGGCCACCCTGGACCAGTTTGATGCCATCGATTTCTCTGACAACGAGATCCGCAAGCTGGACGGGTTCCCGCTGCTGCGGAGGCTGAAAACGCTCCTGATGAACAACAACAGGATTTGGTAAGGGGCTCTGCTTGGCCTCGTGGGACCCTGGGCAGAGGAAAATGCTCTTGGGAGAGAGGGGTGTGTGTCTTTCAGTGCTGGGCAGGGGCAGGAGTGTTTGTTTCAGGCAGTAAAATCAGCACTGAGCAGTGTGTGGGCTCTCTTTCAGTTTCCTTCCTGATTCAGTGCAAAAGGCAGGGTTTGTTTCTCAGCCAGGACAGTGAGATACAGAGTTTGGGATCTGGCCACATCTTTGGATTTCAGTAATCATCTCCATAAAGACACGAAAAAATGAATACCTGCAAGGGAATAGATTATAAGATTTAAATCTAATATTGCACCTAATATTTGCAGTGATTTATTGCCAGCTTTATTAGAAAAGTGTTTTGGATGCTCACCCAGATTCTGCCAGTGTCACACTGGGTTGTTCACAGGGAGAGCCTCTGTGTTACTTTGTTTCTCTGTGTATTTCCAGCGTTGCTAATTCCTGCCCTAAATGAAACCTTTGTTTTTGTTGTTCTTCAGTCGGATTGGTGAGAACCTGGAGCAGGCACTGCCCAGCCTCACAGAGCTCATTCTCACCAACAACAACATTGCTGAACTGGTAAGCTGTCATGCAGGATAAAGCTAAACAAGCTGAAAATTTGTGGTTTTCATCCCTCTAATTAACCATTTTCCTGAGAGTAGTGCCATATCCTTTTGGTAATAGTTGGTTCTTTCCCTTTAGAGTAATATCCTACAGTTCTGGCAGTAGTTAACTGTGTACATCCTTTAATGAACATGATTTGCATCTTGCAGTGGAACAGCAGTCACAAAGCTTAGTGGTTTTCCTATTAAAATAATTGCAGTAATTTAATTAATGTCTAAAATAGATATGAGTTCAGGAACTTTGTTTTCAAATATTTGATTTTTTTGCTAAAGGGGCTTAAAATTTCTTGCTGTGCTCCCTTTACCCAGGGTGAACTGGATCCATTATCAACTATTAAATCCTTGACTTACCTGAGGTATGTAACCCCAAAAAGAAAAGCTGCTCTTTCTCTGGTGTTTGAGCTCTGCTGCTGGCTTGGCCCTTTGCTTTGGTCTGGAATGCTCTGCTTTTTATGAGCTGTGACAGATCCTTTATGTCTAAAAATTGAATTGATAAACAGCGTTTGCTTCATGAGCATCTGGTAATTAATGTCTGAGGTTTTATATCACTTGACAGGCTGTTGGGATAATGAGATCTAACAGCTCTATAAACCAGTACACAAGTGCTGAAGCAGACTTAACCTTCAAAAACCTAAAACCAAAAGGTTTAATCTGTTGATAAAAAAATAGTTTAAAATACATGTAAACAAGGACTTTTCAGTAATGTTACATTTGATGTGAGGGACAGAAATAAACACAGTTTGTCCTGTGATTTTTCAGTTGATCAGTGTCCAGAGAGAAAAGTGATGTTTCAGTTATTTTTGGGGGAGTATTATGATTATTTTGAGGTTGTTCTTTATGTCATCCTTCAGTGAAATCTACTGAATTGCTAAAGTGCAAGTTTGTATTATAGTTTCCATATCTAAGCACTGTCACTAGGCTTATTTCATGGTGTTATTTGTTGCCTGTTACAGCAGGAAGTACATGATGCATTTGAAGTATATTAATATATTGCAATACAAGTGCATTTTAAAATATTTTGTAACCTTTATTTACTTCACAGTGTTCTAAGAAATCCTGTAACAAATAAGAAACATTACAGATTATATCTAATTCATAAAGTTCCCCAGGTCAGAGTACTGGATTTTCAAAAAGTGAAGCTCAAAGTAAGTCTGCTTGCTTTTGATTTAGGTGTTTGGGTTTTTTTAATTGTTTGGGTTTTTTTTTTCTGTTTGTTTTTTTTAATTGGGCTTTTTTTGTGGGGTTTTTTTGGGGGGGGGGGGCATTTAGGTTTTTTATTTGTTTGTTTGTTTGGTTAGTTTTGGGTTTTGTTTGGTTTTGGTTTGTTTGTTTTGGGGTGTTTTGTTTTTGTTTTGTGTTTGTGGTTTTGGTTTTTTGGGGTTTTTTTGCATTCTTGAAAATTCACCACTAACAGTGACCTTGTTTCCATGGTTGTAAATTTTATTGAAACTCTGTAAGTGGCTCTACAACGCTCTCATTGTTTTCTTTCATGGTTTCATTCTGTTAAGGATATAATCTGTTTAATTGTGTCTAATTATGTTGAGTGTTATTCTTTCCTGTCCCTCTGGTGTTGGTAGGAGACAGCTCTAGAGAAAGAAATGAGCAAACACCACTGGGTGGGGGATGAGTGTGGGAAAGAGCTCTTAATTTTAAGAGCACAAAGTTGATAATTCTCTGAATATTTGGGCAATGTTTATCTGCTTGTTCTTACATCTGGTCTCCATGTACCAATTTCACTGATGAGGATGAGCCAAAGTGTCTTTCTTGGCCAAGACAGCTTTGCAAACTGTGATGTTCTCAAATTAACTTTGTGTGTGTGTGTGTGGTATCGCTGTAGGAGCGACAGGAGGCAGAGAAAATGTTCAAGGGCAAACGGGGTGCACAGCTTGCAAAGGATATTGCCAGGAGAGCAAAAACGTAAGATAAAACAAACAAATTTCCACTGGCGTCCTCCTTCAGAAACACCACTTTCTTTGTGTGCAGTATCAGGCAGAAAACTGAAATATCAGCTGCTGGCAGGATGCCTCAAAAGCTTGGGGAGCCACAAGTGTCTTGTCCAAGCACCCCGAGTTCTGGATGGTGGTGAATACATCTCAGAAGTATTTCTGAAAGAGTTAACTTGGTCAAGGTGGATTCACTGATGTCAACAAGCAGGAAAACTTAACGTTATTTTTGTTGTTTAACTGCAGAGAGGTGGCCATTATTTAATTTGTGGTTGGTGGGGTTTTTTTCCTAGATTATTGGTTTTGATTTGCTAAATTCTTTTCTTTCCCAAAATAAATAATTATGTGTTTATTTGGGGAAAAAACTGCAAAATCTGCTGTAGTTAGGAGATTAAATACAAAAGAAAATCTTTAATTAAGCTGTTACGGTATATGTTTATTTAGTTTAATTGTTAAGTGGTGCATCATATGTTTTGATCAACGTATTTGGTAATAAGAATTCAGATCACAGCATTTCCAAATTCATGGTTAAATAGAAAAATGTCTTGAGCTTATTTAGCATTTAAACCTATAACAGATGGATTTGAGCTCGAGTTTGTGAATGGAAAGGGATTCAGGTCAGGTGATCTCCTTAAAGCAGCAGCAGCAGCAGATAACTTTTTTCTTTTGGCTGTTAAGATTAATTCCACTTTAATGTAGGCTTTACTTTAGGCTGCTGTAATAGCACATTTGACACATGGGAACAGAAACCCCATTTTCAGTTACTCTTTATTTATCCACCCTGCTTTTGTCATGGCAGCAGAGCAGCTGAGTGTTCAACAGCATCCAAATTGAAGAGCTTTTGCCAACTGCCTGATGAGTAAAGTTAAGTTCTGCCTCTGAGCAGATGAAAGGGGGGGGGAATGGGACAGTGAAGACAAGATGCTGGTGTTTCTGAAGGAGGCAATTCTTCACTGTATCAGTTTGTTAACAAAGATAAGATACTACACTTGATGGAATGAAATGCTTTCAAACCTAGTTTGGAAGCATTTCAATTCAAGAGAAGCAGCTACTCTTCAAAAAGTGTAATAGGTCTTTTTTCTTCCTTTTGAAGCTTCAATCCAGGGGCTGGTCTGCCAACAGACAAAAAGAAAACTGGGCCCTCCCCAGGGGACGTGGAGGCAATTAAGGTAAATATGTCAGGAGAAAAGCTGTCATGGATCCAAATGGAACAAAAGTTTCCTTTGTGCTGTTCAGACAAATAGATCAGCGTGTCCTGGCTCTGGTTTAGGTTCTTTTCCTGTAAGTTTTCTTCTGACCTATCTGTATTTTGAAGACTTCTATGAAATACTAACCTGAGCTTAGAGTTCTTCCAAGGGAGGGGGGCGGTAATGATTTGTCATTTGTAGAATTTTCTAGAAGCAGAATTTAGAACTTTCCTGGGTGTTCAGTGTCCCTTATCTGGTAGCAGCCTGGTTTGTGTGCTGGCTGTGAGCACTGACTGAGCTCTCTGTTCCAGACTGCCATCGCCAACGCCTCGACCCTGGCGGAGGTGGAGCGGCTGAAGGGGCTGCTGCAGGCGGGCCAGATCCCCGGCAGGGAGCGCAAACCAGGTCACTGTCTGCTTCTGCTGCTCCTCCTTCAACACAGCCCACCCCTTCCTCGCTCCCTGATGCTGCTTGTGAGCTCTGTGGGGAGCTGGGTAGGCACAGTGTGAGTCTGTCATCTGTGCAGCACATCCCTGGCTCTGTGATAGCCTGGCCTTGGCTGCAGCTCTGGGCTGTCCCCTGAACTCCCTGCAGAGCCAGGTGTCCAACAAGGGGCTTTGCTGCACTGGATGACTTCAAAACTCATCCCAGTTATTTTGATGCCTTGTGAAGGCTGACCTAGAACAGATAATAGACAGAGTTAAAGAATAATGTAGGAATTTATTAGGAGGCCTCCATGGATCCAACTTGGGCAGCACAAGAGCCCAGCCAAGGCTGCACCCAAGATGAACCAAAATGGTCCCAAAATGCACAGCCCGGCACGGGCTCTGTCCCTGGGATCAGTTCTGCTCCATTTGCACCTTGCAGTTCATTGTCCCATTCCAGCTTTAGCCCCTGCAGTCCCACCCTGCTTGTTTTTCTCTCTCCAGCCCACGGTGTTTGTGCTCTTGGGCCTGAGATTTGGTCATTTGTCCTTGGTCCCCAGCTAGAGCAGGAATTGTTTTGTCTGCCTACTCTGTGAAGAGAGCTTACTATCCCCCAGTATGAAGCTCAGACTAAAGCAGCACAGAATGTGAAAAATATAAAATCTAAAACCAGAGGCATCAATTTAACAAAATGAGATGAATTACAGAGTCTCTCTGGACCTCTGCTGAGGTGCAGATAAGACTCAATGTGTCAGCAATGAGTCTGGGAGCTCTGCAGAGATGGATCTCAGCTGCAGGCTGGCCATAGCACCGGTTTCCTGTACATCAGGGCTACCTGATTTTCCTCTCTGTGAAGTCTTTAAACGTTCCCGTTACTACTCTTCTGCAGAGGGGTGGGGAAAGGAACAGCAACGTCTGCAGCAGCTGCCCTAAAACTCTGACGTGTCCTTTCAGGCCCATCGGAAGACGGCGAAGAAGAAATGGAAGAGGACACAGTGCCAAACGGATCGTAGCTGGGGCCGTGCCGCGCTCCGGCCCCCCCCAGGAGCCCTTTCCCGTGCCGGGCCGTGCCGGTATCCCCGGCGGGGCCCGCCGCCCCCGTCCTCGCGCATTTCGCTGTTCAATAAACGAACGGTCCCTTTTTCTCCCGCGGGTGCCGCATCCGCTTCCCGGGCGGGGCGGGACAGGGCGGGACGGAAGGCGTTTCGGCGCACTGTGATTGGCTGCCTGCCGCCTGCCCCCTTCTCTCATTGGCGGGCGCAGCTAAACGTCGCTCCGGGCACTCCGCCAGTGGCGGCGCGGCGCTTCCTGGCGGCGCTTCCGGGCGGCGGCGGACGGGGCGGTGATTGGCGGAACGGGGCGGGCCCGGATATGAGGCGGCGGCGGACGGGGCGGTGATTGGTGGAGCGGGGCGGGCCCGGACGTGAGGCGGCGGCGGACGGGGCGGTGATTGGCGGAGCGGGGCGGGCCCGGACGTGAGGCGGCGGCGGGGGGCGATGGATCTCGGGGACGGCGGGGGCCGCGGCGGGGCCCGGGCCGGCGCTGGGCCGGGGCGGGCTGGAGGCGCTGCAGCACACGGGTGAGGGGCCGCGGGCCGGGGGGGAGCGCGGGGCGCGGCGGGGCCGAGGCGGGCCCCGTGCCGCGGGCCGCGCTCAGCCCCGGCCTGTCCCCCGGCAGTGGGCTCGGTGCTGTCCGGCTATGGCTGGTACCTGCTGCTGGCCGCCGTCGCCGTGTACCTGCTCGTGCAGAAGGTGTCCCGCGGGCTGGCGGCGCGGCCGGGCGGCCGGCCCGGAGCGGCGGAGGCGGCGGAGGGTGAGTGCGGAGCGGTGTCGGTGCCTGCGGGCCCGGCCCGGGGCTGAGGCCGCTCGGATCCGTGCCGGGTGGGAGGTGGTGACAGCCCGGAGGGAGCCGGTGTGAGGGGTTGGATGGAGAGCGGTGCTCGGGTAACCTTTGAGCCCGCAGATCCTGGGTGAGGAGATCACCGGGAAAGGCTGGGCCGGGGGCGTGTTTGTAAAGGCTCTGAAGGAGAAGCTGTGTCCTAAAACAACGTGTTTGGGAATAAAGGAGTGGGACATCGCTCTGGGATGGGTATCTGCTCCTCGGTGGGCAGCAGCTGAGTGGATGGGGGACAGCAGCACCTGTGGCCAGCTACCAAATAACTTTTAGACTTACCAAACAAAGCCAAAACGCCCAAATCTAAATCCTGGTGAAAATACTTCTATAAATATTCACTTTTTGTTGATATTCATCACTCCTTCCAGTTATCCAGTTACTCTTTCCCAGTTCCTGCTGTGGCAGGACTGTGTACGTTTGGGGTGTGACAGTCTGTGTTATCCTTGGGAGTGTGGCACAGGTTGTAAATCTCACACAGTCAGGATCCTGCTGAAAAGCACAGGCTGTGCTCCTGGACCTGCCAAATCCATGAGTGCTTGGCACTGATCCCCTGGGCACATTGGCCCCACAGTAAAATCTTATTTGCTTGCTCTTAACCTCCTGCTGTTCTTTTGTGATGATAATTAAATAGCTATTTAATTGCCCAAACTGCCTGTAAAGTGAAATTATTGAAAGTACTGACATTTCTTTTTCATATTCATCAGTGGATCATAGCAAAAAATGAGGCAAACAAATGTGGAGATGCTTCAGCTGCTGCAAGAAAACAGAGCAACATTTGCCTTTTTTGGGGGGTGTAATTTTCCTTTTGACCTTCACAGGTCACTCATGAAGAGCAGTGGTGACTCAGTGTGGATTTTCTGAGACCTGCAGGTGTCTCTTGAGATGTGTGTCATGTTTGTAAGTGATTTCTCTGCTGATGGAGGCTGTTAAATCCACTGCTGCACTGACACCAGCAGGACCCCTTGCCAGAAGGAGTAGGAGTGAATGTGGGCTGGTTGCCTCATCCTTCTGCGTAAAAGAAGTTCTCTGGGTAAAAATGGTCCCTGTGAAGCCTGAGTGATATTTCTGAATTAATTTGTATCTAACAAATCCTTCAGAAATAGAAGGAAGTGTCCTTGAAGTGTGAGGTTTAGATTTTATGGTTAGGTACACTTGTGTCTTTATTAAAATCCTGTTGAAATAATTAATTTAAAACAGTAAAACATGATGAAGTTTAATTCAGCATTATAAATTATTAGAAAAGATTAGCTGGAAACTGAACTTGAGCTGTGATTTTCTGCAAAACAGCTGCAGGGAGAGATGTGAGCCTTTCCTTATTACAATTCCTTGAGGAGACCATCTAGGATTTATTTTGAGTAGCTTTGCAAACTCTTTCCTGGTTTCCTAGAGCCTGATGTGGTGGTAAGAAGGCAGGAAGCTTTAGCAGCAGCTCGCCTCAGGATGCAAGAGGAATTGAATGCACAAGCAGAAAAATACAAAGAAAAGCAAAGACAGGTAACCAGAGTGCATTTCTTCCTTTAACCCATGAATTTCTCATCAAGCACTTTGCTGCTGTAAAAGACAGCAGCAAATTGTGATTGTGGGCAGGGTCACTGTGGGCCTGGTGTTCATTTTTTCACAGGTAAATCTGTACCTGCAGGAGCTTTGTTGTGGGTGCAGTGAATGGCTGGAGGAGTTTTGCTGCCATTTAAATTAACTGTCCCACGGCACTTGTGTGTTTTCTGCTCTTAAAGGCAAATATAAGTGCTAGAAATGTAGCTTAGCATTGGTGCAGTTCAAGGGTCTGAATTACAGCTTGAGATCACGAGGAACAGCAAATTGCTGAGTGGGGCAATGCAGAAAATGGGTGTGATCAGCACAGTAATAACTCTGATCATCATCCCACCTCTTCTGGTTTTGCTTTTGCAGTCAGACACTCAGACCCCCATTGGTAGCTGATGCTTCAAGTAATGTTGGCATTAAAAACAAAGGAAAAGCCCTTTCTTTCTTCTGTAGAACCCCATGTTGTGCATTTAATTACTGCAATATTCTTTATTTAGTACTTTCCATAGACTCAGGGTTTAAACTTGCCACTTGGTTCTGTTTTACCTTCAAAATCTTTTAAAGCATCAGGTGGCCAGAAGAAGCTGCAGGCTCAGTCAGTACATCCTGAGGAGAGATGTGGCTGCATAAAAAGAGTAAATTCTTCCATAATCTCAGAGATACTGCATCAGATAAATACAGTTTGATGAGCCTGTTGTAGCTGTTTCTGGGGATTCTGTTAGCTCTGAAATCTTAGTTTTAAGATTAAAGCTAAGATTAAAACTGTATCCTGGGTTTGTTCTGTAGCTGGAGGAGGAGCGGCGACGGCAGAAGATCGCGATGTGGGAGAGCATGCAGGAGGGAAAGAGCTACAAAGGAAACCTGAAACTGAATCAGGTAACAGCCCTGGTAATCAGGTCACTCTTGTGTTCCTGTGATTCAGGGAGCTGAAATTCCTACTGAGTAACTTTTTGCTTTTCTGAACAGCAAGAAGTAGAATCTGGTGCCTCTGCCTCAGCAGTCCCGAAATCTAAACCAAACAAAAAGCCTTTGAGAGGAGGTGGTGAGTATGGAATCCTTCAGACACTCTGAGCTTGGAACAGGGCATTTATCCAGCTGTATCTATGGACTCTGTACATACTTTTTGTCTTTTTCAAGGAAGAAACAAAACATTCCTTACAAACAAGCTCTTTATCTCTGATCAGCTGGTCTGCTCTGTCCTTTGTGCAAAAGCTGGCAGGAAGTTTTGGGAGTGCTTTTCCTTGGGAAAAGAATGTGTCAATTTTTTTTGTAAATATGCTTTGGTATCATTTACTGAGATTTTTGTTACTCAGAATTACAGATTCTTATAGTAGTTCTGGAATCCTTCCCCCATTATTCTGTAAGTTCAGTAATTTAGTATCTGGTCTTGTTAATGAATTCCAATATGGTCTGCCTTTAAAGCACCTCTAGCACTGACTAAATGCAGGAAGAGGGTATTTTACTTTGTATTATGCAGATTCAGATGATGAAAGAAATTATTATGTAAAATGTGACCTTATTTTTCATATACCACAGTGCTGACCTATTGAATATATAAATCCTGTAGATGTATAAGTCTTGCCAACTCTCACAAAGCACCAGAAGGTCTCATGTTAAATTCAGTCACCTGCTGGAACCATCTTGATGGATGAAGTGCTTTCTGTGGCCTCACATTGCCCATGCCAGGCTCACTGGCCATGCAGGCAGTCTGCTTCCTCTCCTCTCAGCCCAAGAGCCCTTGCCATACCTGCAGGTGTTAATTTGGGTGTATTTTAGTGACAATTTTCTGTGGTGGAGTGGATCATCCAGACAGCCTCAATCAGGCTGAAAAGTGCAGTGCTGAGTGACTTGATTAAATGTATGAAACCTGTGGATTCTTGATTAAATATACTAAACCTCAGTTGCAGTGCAGTGCTGGGATTTCTGCTTTGAGTATTTTTCCTGGCATTTGAAGGAATCAAATAGATTGATTCATCTTAGGTAATTTAATAGGAGGATGTGGTGTCTGATGCTGTCAGCTATCTTTGGTGTCTCTGTCATGGGATATTTACCTCCCTGGGGGATGAGGAGTGCAGGGGTCAGCTGTGCTGAGAGGCAGGGTCAGGGCAGCTGGGTCTGGGCACCCTTCCAGCTGCTACCTGTCCTAGTTTAATCCTCAGCAAAGTCCTTGCTTAAGTAACCCATTACAGAATTAGAGGTCTCAGATCTTCTCCTGAGGTAGATCAGCATGAAGTGAAAGAACCATCTGTGCTGCTCAGCTGCTCAATTAAGCTAGAAAGCAAAACTTGGCTTTGGTATGAGAAAAACAAATTTCAAAGATGAAGGTGATGCTGGGAGTTTCAGTGGAGCAGGTTGCTTTGGAACCTCCCTGGTTAGCAGTGCTGCTAGGATTTGGGTTCTTAGGTTTGTGCAGAACAAATTGAAGATGTTTGCCAAGTTGTAACTTTGATGTTCTCCTGACATGGAGTTTCCCATGGTTACAGCATTAGGGTGTTCAGCTAAAGTGTATTTGCCTTACTGCCTATGCTTCCCTTTCAAATGCTCTAAAAAATTACTTTGCAGTGTTAATGAGTGGATTTACATTTGACCTTCAGAGCATTCCTTGCAGGACTGGAATGAAGGATTGTTTTAAGTCCCTGGCTGTTGGGCTCTTGCAGAACAGATACACTCTGCAGAGTTTACTCCAAGAGCTGCTGTTCCTGCTCTGTTT